CCTTCGTTTGTGAGATATGACAGCTTAAGTGTGAGCCATCTTGTAGCGTAGCGGCTCCTCTCTGAGAAGGTGGCTACAGCCTCGAAACTGAAGAAACAGGATATAGGAATTGCATGAAACAAGTAGAGCCTAACAAATCTGTGTAAAACTGTGTGCATGCCTAGAAAAACTAAATCTTTCTGTCCACAGTAAGGCCACATGGCACCATTTTACTAAACTGGGTGGTGCATATTTTGATTGAGCTGAGCCACACCTTTCATTCCAGCCACACCTTTAATTGCTGCAGCAGCAAGGTAGCTGATCAGAAAGTCAGCAACATTCTTTCCAATTTTCTTGAAAAAACCATTACTGTTTCACTTTTGTTGTGTTACACTTCACTGGTTGTGGCGAGGGCATGTGCTATAGTGCACTCGTTACCCGAGCCCACGCGTAGGCGTGGAAGCGAGGGTAAAGCAGTCGTCCTGTGTGTGTGTGTGTGTTCGCTTGGCCTCCACTTTTGAGCTGACACTGCTTTCTTGTCTAGTCCTGGAGAGTCTTATAATCAACACTGGCTCTAGAAAAAGTTATTCTCCGTCTTGGGAATGCTATACTTTTCTTTTCCGTGGAGTAAGAAGCTGGAAAAGTCGCCAAACGTAGGTCGGTTCCCCGACAACTTTTTCATAGTGTGAGCAAAAGAGCAACTGGGCAGATAAAACAATAAAGCAAATCCTCATCTTTCATTAATATGAGAGGAATTGCTCTAATAATCTTCGTTTTAAAGATATGGTAGCCCAAAAATCCATACTTTTGTGAATTTACACGAGGCTCTCTTCTCCCGAAGTAGCGTCCAGAGTCTTTAAACATCAGGGGATCAATAGACGTTTGTATGCAACAAATAGAGCCTAACAAATGTATGCTAAACTGTTTAAAAGTCAAGAAAAACTTAAGCTTTCTTCAACACTTAGAGCCATGTGCCACCATTACTGTGTGTGCGGGTGGAGCATGGCTTGATTGAGCCACACCTTCATTGCAGCCACACCTTTACATTGCTGCAGCAGTGCAGCAAGCATGCTGGAGCTTCTTCTCTGTCTAAAATACAAAAAATTCACTGTCTCAAAACATTCACTAAGTTTTTACATGCTGAAGGTTCTTTTCTGTGTCAAAACTTTCACTAATTATTTTTCTCTTAATTTATTAAAATTGTTACACACAGACTGTGGCGAGGGTATGCACTTTAGTGCTCTCGTTCTGTCATTCTGTCCACACAGTTTAATTGATTTGTAAAAAAATTATTATTTTGTTTGAGCAGTCTAGAGCTCTATTTCTTCTTCTAGCAACAAATAAAATTGCTTTCTTTCATCTAGCTATGCTCTTGTAGCATCCCGTGGCACCAAAAGCTGTGAACTGCTAAACCAGGGGACCTCTCTCCAGGTGAGAGCTCGTGTTCCACTCTACAGGGCCAAGATTTGCTTCAGAGGTAGAAAATCCCATCTAACGTAAAAGAAAAAGAACGATTTTGTCCTAACTTCGTTGTTTGTGAGTTACAGTTGCTCAAAGTTTGTGATTTAGCCTCTTTGAGAATTTTTCGGGCGGCACTGCGGAAAGCAGGAGCAACCAAACTCTCTCAGTCTCTTTTAAATATCTAGAAAAATTTTCTGTGCCAACTCTTTCTTGGAATAGAGCTTCAGATGCTAAAATAAATTTCAGCTTTTCTTCTTTCTCCTACCCATGTGCCACGATTTAGCTAAATCGTTTTAATTATCATTATAACTATGCAGTCCATAATAATATTTTTTTTTCAAATTGCTTAAAATATCACAGTACAAGTAATACATATCACTCAAGTGAATTCCAGCAGGTGAGTCCATTGCACCATAGTGCTTCATTTGTCAAGCAGCAAACCCAGCAATGAATACTGTATCAACTACTAAAGCATGATTAGTGAGTATATTGAGAAAGTATAGCCTAGGTTTGAAAGATCACCTGATACTCAGGTTGGTTGTAGATGATCTTATTCATCATATTAAATACATACATGCAATTTATTTTTATAGATACCATTTAAGAAGAAACAAGGTTTTACTCAATCTCCAAAAGATGGTTTTCTAAGAATGATTCTAATGATCAAATTTTGAATTAAATATTATTAATAATTTTCTGGCATAATATTATAGACCTCTTCAGGTGAGATTGACGGTGGCCTATGAATATCATTACTGTTTATTACGGTATCCACCTACGGTGATAATTGGCCGCCATTTTGGACGGCAAGATTCAATGGAGGATGAATTAAGAAAAGGCAAAACTGATTCTTTTCGTTGGCATGGAGCTTTTTCAAGCTACAAAAGCTGGTTGGAGGAAAGAATGGTCGCTGCTAAGCATCTCCTAAAAGGGATTTGGTGCAATATGAAGCATATTCTTTAATAGAGCTTGCTTTCTGCATTAGCCCATTCATACTCCATAGAAAGTTGCCGTCCACGAAAATTATTTCAGAGTCAGCCAGGCTCAGTCACGCCCCTTGCCGTATATCATTCTTTGACGTAATTCATTCTCACCCAAAGAGGTCTTATTTAAAAATTTTATTTTTTCGCAAAAAAATTAATGATAATTATAAGTTTCTGTAATTTTTATTGGATCAGTGTCAAGGGCGTGGTATAGGTGTGATCATCCCTGCCTTAAAATCACGTGGAGTCCTATGGTCTATACAAGATAAGGGAGCTTCTGGTTGGCTGATAGGCTGATCGTGTTTAGTTGCTCCTAATGAGTCAGAGAGTTATTGCAGAGGATAATGGATTCCATGCTTACCTCAGTGGACTTTCTTAGTTAGACACCCGCCCACATGCTGTATGATGGTAGAGACTAAAATGAAAGGAGAGCAGTTGTGGATGAGAATCAACTTAAAGACAAGAGAAACATTACTCACAGAGTAAGGGAATGTAAATAAAGTACACATGCATAACAGAAAATGTAATACTGTATGGTGCAAAAATTTTTGAGGACTGTAAATGTCGCAAATTTGCCTAAAAATCTATTTTGCAGATTTAATTTTTGCAAATCTATACTGTCCACCATCTTGTGCCCTAATATTTTTGATTTTAGCGGAAGTAATTTTCACAATTCTTTAAGAAATCGCAAAATCCGTTAAATTTACAGCCCTCGAAAATTTTGCGCTATATGGTAATAATGCAGAATCCTTTAATTTCCGTTTTGATGAAATACCATGTACTATATTGGTGTGATTTTGGAGCAACTTTGCAATTTGCTTTTATACATATTGCTTTTAAATTATTTATCAGGTTCAATTTAAACTTTCTGCGTAGCATATAAAAACATTAATGTATATTTAAAATGTAATTAAAAATTGGGGTAATTTTAGAGTTTATTAAAAAAATGCTTTTTTGAAAATTCTTTTTTGAAAATGCTTTTTTGAAAATTAAATTTTTTTGAAATGCTCATAACTCAAAAATTGTTTGTTAGAAACTTTCTACATACATGTAGTACAGAACATAAAGACATCAATGTGTCAGGATTGCCCACAAAATTTTAGCATCAGCTTTTTAGTGGATTAATTGTGAAGTTGCTGCAAAAGACCCTGTTCATGGATTTAGACCAAATTTTGTCAAAAATGAAAAAAGAGAATTCTTTATTTTTATAATTTTTGATACATATGCATGTAGTTATGTTGTGTAGAAAGTTTGAACTGAGTCTAGTCAAATTTGATTTTTAATGAATTTTTAAAATTGCTCAAATGCCATGCATTGTATTGTAGTGCTTGTCAGCTCATGAAGCTCATGCTGTTTAGCTCACTTAGCATGCTCTATGGGAAAATTGGCAATGTATAAAATATTTAATAAAAAATTATGAGGCCGAGTTTTAAAGAAAACCATGGGCTATATAGCCAAGAGTGGCCTTTGCTTTTTTTAAATTTGCTCTTTTTATGCTTATTTTTGAAACTGGCTGAAGAATTATTTGCAATTTTTATTACATTTTCTGCCTGATGCTTGGTAGAAAATTTGAGCTGACTCCGATTAAAATTTTTCAAGTTACGGCCATTTTAAATATATTACTTTGTGTTACTCTCCTTGAGCTACATGTACATGTACATGTACATTAATCATTATTCATTAATAATGTACAATATTATAATCCTTAATTTACATGTACATGTACATTCATAATTGTTATTACATTGACATCATTATCAATAATAATAATAGTACCGTTTATCTGGAAATTTTTACTGTAATTTTAATTTCACGGGATTAGAAATTCACAAAAATTAGATCACACATATATTTACATGCCACATTCAGTAATACAAGACACAATCATATTTAGTAAAAATTAAGTCACAGCACGATTTTAAAACACAAAAATTTTCCACCACAAATTTCCTGATTTACAAGTATTATTATTATTATTATTATTATTATTATTATCATCATCAATATTATTTATTATTATTATTATTATTATTATTATCATCATCAATATTATTTATTATTATTATTATTATTATTATTATTATTATTATTAGTGGTCTACAGTGTTTCTAATGCTATGATCATTGCTGCCATTCATCCACTGGAACACTGTAGAATGTTTAGCTATAACACTCCAGGTAAATATTTCCAATTTTATAATAAAATTAAAATTAGAATACCTCGTAATAATTCTTCTCATGTGTAGATGGTACTTCTCTCCTACAAACCCTGTCCCTGTCTTCATTTTATAAGATCTCAGTCTCCTGATTTAATGAAACTCTGTGTCTCCACTAAAACCCACCACATCATTGCTGTCGATTTAGGTATTTATTTTACCATGTTCTACTCGCATTATTCTAAAATTTTCATCAAAAGTCGACCAAGAGGGTCCCACCCACCCAGCAGCTCCAGGACCCGCCCATCAGCCAAGAGGAGGAGCTAGAGAGAGGGAGGTACAGTGGACTGACAAGACGAGAAAAAGGAGCAAAATACATCGGACCTTTTGTCGCCCATTTTTCTGTTGCTAAGCAATGCAATAGAATAATGAGGAACATTGATATGATGAATCTTAACGAGGGGTGTGGCCTCACACTGGGCAGAGTTACTAAGCTACCGAAAGACCACAACAAACCAGTCAAACCGGTTTCAGATGACAAGTGGTATATACCTAATGCGTGGCTTGGTAAAGGAGTGGGCAGAGATTGGGAGGAGTCTAGTAATGTTTGTATTACTAGTATGAGAAAAACTAAACCACTGAATATAAAACAGGACGACATGTCTTCAAGCCCCACCCACTTCGGCACTAGTTACCCCATACAGTGTATACTCCCTCCAGCTGAAGATCATGTGATCAGTGACTCCGCCCTATTGTACCCTCACTATAATAACGGATTGGTAATAGTGTATTATGATA